AAGGAGCCACTTTATACTGGGTTTGAATTGTGGAAAGTGAAGGTGGTTAGAGTGTAAGGAGCCACTTTATACTGGGTTTGAATTGTGGAAAGTGAAGGTGGTTAGAATGTAAGGAGCCACTTTATACTGGGTTTGGATTGTGGAAAGTGAAGGTGGTTAGAATGTAAGGAGCCACTTTATACTGGGTTTGGATTGTGGAAAGTGAAGGTGGTTAGAATGTAAGGAGCCACTTTATACTGGGTTTGAATTGTGGAAAATTGATCGTGGTTAGAATGTAAGGAGCCACTTTATACTGGGTTTGAATTGTGGAAAATTGAAGGTGATTAGAATGTAAGAAGCCACTTCAACAAACAAACCTTATATTCGAAGTATCAACAAATGATTTATTAAGAGAGATACAATGTACTGATAAGCTTAGTTCTTCAAAGGCGCTGTTTGATTTGTTTAACGATTACATTTAGTTGGTTTGTGGGTGACTTGAATAGGTTATAATTAATTTTCTGTCATGCATTTACTTCTTATGATGTTAACAAATGAATATTTCATGCTCTAGCTGTTCATTAAACATGATTTTTTCAAACTTACTGGAACAGATGTTTTCTTTTTCTTCTGAGAAGCCTCTTCCTTTTTTTCATCTCCATCACCATCTCCTTCATCCTCCGTTTTCTTTTTCTGTTTACCTCCATCATCAGTTTTGTCTTTATAAACCCATAGTTCTGACTTCTCCACCAACAGTCTAAGGTTGTCCAAGTCTGTCTTAATTTGTTTGTAGTTTTCAACATCACTGGGTGACACAAGTAGCTGGACCTGTTCAAAATCAAGTGATTACAACAACTGTACAAATATTACCTTGATTAAATCGAATGCTAAAATCAACTGTAAAATACTAATCTGAAAAAAGTTATACTGTTAAGAGTATTATTTTGTTAGCTCAAATCTGGGATTTTATGATTTCCAAAACCAAAAGTACTCTCGATAATTTTGTCTTTTTTTTAATCTTGCGCAAAGCTAATCAAGAGCTAGGAGCACTAACCATCCCTAATTTGAAGTGATATACTAGAGAGAAGGTAGCTAGTCAACACCACCCACTGCCAACTCTTGGGCTACTCTTTTACAAGTGATATGGTCTTTCACATCATAACACCTACACAGCTGAAAAAGCAAACACATTCAGTGACAGAATTTGAACTCACAACCTGCAGACTCAAATCAAATGCCCTAACTAGCAGGCAACACTAGGCCTCAGATTGTTGATGAAAAACAAACTTAAAAGTCATATATATATTACATAAGGTAACTTTACAGACATTTGTCTTTTTCACAGAAATAAGAAGTTTAAACAAGCATTACCAGCAAAATCAAAGTTTCATAAATTTCTAAAACTTTTTACTGTCCTAGCAGGCTTTTCTAAAAAGTCAACAAAAACTAATTCCTAAACATTTTTTAAACAACAAAAACATATTAAAAAATTATATTATTATACAATAAAATTGTATGTTTAGACTAACTTGTATTAGTGAAACCAGATTCGACCTCAACAGTTGATGTTTTTTTGAAATTATAGTTATGCCAAAGTGATAGTTCAAGTACAAAAATTCTTACAATTCTCCTCTTCTTGACAATTTTTGTCATTCATCTCTTAAAAGGTTCTAATACTGATGAATGTATATATTATTTGTTGCTTTATTTTATTTGTGTCCAGGAAATTTACATTGATTGGAAATCAGCATTAAGACACACAGTAGTGTGTCATGTGGCCTAAACAGCCTGCAGGACACAATGTATGTTATTAACAGGAGTGACAGTTTAGCTATTTTTGCACTTTCTGTACACCAGACTGAGATAATCCAAATATCATATATTTTCAGTGGATGTACTCTACTGGACCCTTACTTCACATACGAAATTTCAAGGCAATCCATTGCAAAATACACAAGATATAAAATATCCGATTTTGATTGAATTTCCTCCTTTTTTATCTTATTCACACTGGAAGTACAGAAATGTCTAAATATAAGTCACATGTGCAAAGTTATTCAACAAAAACTGCTCAATTTTGACCACAATTTTAGCCCACACCTACATAAAAAGTCACGTGGGCTATCGATCTGTAATTTTTACTACAGCTTCACCCAATTGTAAAGGTAGACCATTTTTACTACAGCTTCACCCAAATGTAAAGGTGGACCATTTTTAGTACAGCTTCAACCAACTGTAAAGGTGGATCATTTTTACTACAGCTTCAACCAACTGTAAAGGTGGATCATTTTTACTACAGCTTCACCCAATTGTAAAGGTGGACCATTTTTACTACAGCTTCACTCAATTATAAAGGTGGACCATTTTCACTACAGCTTCACCCAATTGTAAAGGTGGACCATTTTTACTACAGCTTCACCCAATTGTAAAGGTGGACCATTTTTACTACAGTTTCACCCAATTGTAAAGGTGAACCATTTTTACTACAGCTTCACTCAATTGTAAAGGTGGACCATTTTTACTACGGCTTCACCCAATTGTAAAGGTGGACCATTTTTACTACAGTTTCACCCAATTGTAAAGGTGGACCATTTTTACTACAGTTTCACCCAATTGTAAAGGTGGACCATTTTTACTACAGCTTCACCCAATTGTAAAGACCATTTTTACTTTTTTGTCCTTTGGATTTAGAGCAGGAAAACTACAGGGTGAAAGCACATGCAGATACATACGTATTGGTTAGGCCAAGCGAACTAGATTAGCAGTTTCTAGCTCAGGTTATCAAGGTGGAAGATTATTATTCATTATTCAAAATTTGTTACAATTCAATTTGTTTGCATTTTTTGAGATAAACGTAAAAATATGTTGCTAAAAGGTAGCAAAGAATCACCTGTTTAAAAGCTTGAAGGACTTCTTGTCGTTGACTGAAATGACGAAACAATAACTGCAGTGCCCCCGATACCAAAGGAGGGTAATCATGCATAGTAAGGTGAAGAAGAACTCGCAGAAAGGTTCGACCACCTTGTCCATCTAAGTCGATGTCTGTGTAGTCATCTCTATTGGTATTACACAGAGAAATGTACGTTACTTACTCTACTTACAACAGAAGTCGAACTTTTGTCATAGGTTCTTAAATCTAATACAAAATGTTCCTATAATTTATATAGACACACTACTAAAAAAACTTTAAAATAAATTTGGAGTTTTTAATTTTGGCTTGAGGGGGAAAAAGTTTTAAAGTTAAACCATTATCATAGTTATTTAAATACTACTTACATCAGACTCAATATTTTATATACTTATTATTTCACATTGTAAATCTTACAGTAGCATTACATCAAAACACAATAACATCTAGCTTCTTAATACACCATTTCTTTATTCTTGCTGTATAATTACTTACATTCTTCACTTTCTATTCATAACACATTTTCTATTTGGTAAAAAACTAAACATAAATGGAACATAATAGTTTTTCTAAAGTGCACAAATTTCTTACATTGAAATTATAAAACTTACGTTCCGCCAAAAATGCCCTCTGCATATTGTCCAATTCTTTCCAAGTCAATACCTGAATGATGTAAAACTACCCCTGTGATATAAAGACCTAATTCCCTTGAAACAACTTAAGGACATAAAAATGTATTATAATCTGTAAGTTTAACCACATGACAGTAACTCACTACAAATGAACACAAATTAACATGATATGGATGCTTATTCTGTAAGTTCAAAATAACTTGAATAGAAAGTAGATTTTCAGCATTTATTTGATATTATATATTTTAGCTGAGAATCCAAGGCATGTACTTTATAAAAAGCTTCAAGTTTATACAAGCATCTATTACCAGACAATGTTTTTGCATTCTATTATGTTCTAAAATGACCAGTTGGGCTAATGGACATAGCGAATGAACTATTCTTAATAAACAGAATAACTAACTTTGTTAGTATTTCACACTTCTAGTAAGAATCTTACCCCTGATTTACACATGAAAACTAATGTGTTTGTATTGTTGTTTACTGTATTACTTGGTCTTTTCATGAGTCTTGTAATAACAAGTCAATCTTACCCCTGATTTACACATGAAAACTAATGTGTTTGTATTGTTGTTTACTGTATTACTTGGTCCTTTCACGAGTCTTGTAATAACAAATCAATCTTACCCCTGATTTACACTTGAAAACTAATGTGTTTGTATTGTTGTTTACTGTATTACTTGGTCCTTTCATGAGTCTTATAATAACAAGTCAATCTTACCCCTGATTTACACTTGAAAACTAAT